GAATTTGCGAGGGCGATCGGTCGCAAATTTTTTAAAATCAATTTAGGAGGAGTCAGTGATGCCGCCATTATCAACGGAGGAAAAACGAGTTTAGTAGGCGAAGGAGTGGGGGAAATTATTAAGGCGATTGTTGAAACGGAAAGTCGGGATCCGGTGGTTTTGCTGGACGAAGTTGACAAAACTAGTTCTTGGTTTGGTGGCGGTAGTATCGAAGATGCCCTTTTGCATGTGCTAGACCCCGAGCAAAACCGGAATTTTAAGGACTGTTATTTAGGTGTAGAAATCGACATCAGTTTTTTCACTTTTCTCTTGACCGCCAATGACCTAGCCAAAGTCCCAGCACCACTGAGAAATCGTTTGGAAATTATCAGACTACCCGCCTACACCGCAGAGCAAAAGTTTCAAATTGGGAAAATGAAAATTGGCAAAATCTTCGCGGAAAGTTATCAGAATAAAAATAAAGACCTTTTTGAAATGACAGACGGGGCTCTCCGCACTTTAATTGGCAAAATTGAGGAAGAGGGGGTTCGCCAGGTAGAAAGGAAAATTAAGGACCTCATTCGGTGGGCTTTTGTTCAATGGTCTTTGGCTTTAGAAAGGGGTGAGGAAGAAACCAAGATTATTATCGATGAAGACAAAGTAAACGAACTGGTGGAAGACTTAAAAGAGCCGGACCAGGAAGAAGAAAGTGCCGAAGACAAATTAAAAAAAGAAATTGCAGAATTAGAGGAAGAAAAGGAAACTCTAAAAGCTTCTAACTTATCTTTTTTTAAACCCCTCATCGTTAGCAATAATCAGGGATTTTGTGATAAGCATAATAAAACTACTTGCCAAAATTCCGAAGGAGCGTGTGCTCTTTGTCAACTGGAAGAACAAGTCAAACAATTTGAAATTATTATTACCAAGAAAAATTTAGTTACTTTGGAGAAATCTTGAAAAGTTCAAAAGCAAAAATGGATTGAGAAAAGCAATGAATTGAAAGAAAAAGAAACCGAAGAAGAAAAAGAATTAGCCA